CCTCCAATAACTATTCTGTTTTGAAGCAGGATGAAAGCCATTTTTTTTCTGCCTTCAACTATTCCTATCACACAAGAGGCACTTATTTTCTTGGTTCATCTTTCCAGGTTCTCAACATGCTTTTGTGGTTTCCAAGCTTGTCGAACTCACAGCCACTATCCATTCCTCTTTTGCAATCCCTTGAGCCTGTTTTGCCATCCTCCACTGGGTGGTTAATGGCTTCTGGTTTGCTATTTATTGCTTCTAATTAACTCCTTGGATCACAGCTCTCAGGTATTAATATAGTACTTAATTCCTTGTGAAGTTTTAACCAGAAATTATCTGTTCACATCTCCGAGAGTGATGGCATGCTGCAGCCGCTTTCTCTTTCTGGACTGTCTGAATCATTTCTGTTTAGCAGAGCCACACAGAGAAGCGAAAATGTCAAGGGGCTCTGTAAAATGGAAGATTCCACCCACGTGGAGTCTGTTCAGCAAAGCCTTCGTCGTAGCACTCCATCACTCAGGAACCTGCCGCTCCCAGTGGACTACCCCATCACTTCCAAGCCCCTCTTCTTTAATTTGCCCATGAAAATGCCCCATCCTATCTGTTCAATTGCATTTCCAAGAGCAGGTCAGCACCTTGTACCACCTTATCCATAAGGTCAATCAACAAACCCACCCCGTTCTCTGCTACTTTCTAGCTGTGTGACTTTAGCTACAATATTTAAATTTTCTGTAGGTCACTTCCCTTAATTCTAAAGTGTGAATGGCAAGAGTGTCTAAGTCAGAGTATTGCCCTAAAGAATAAAGTTAATATGGATAAGGTACTTAGGACAGGGACTGGCACACAGTAAGTACTTACTAAAAGTTAGCACAAATTAGTGTTATGATTGGGCTAGATTCATAGAGATAAATTAGATTTAGATTATTGACCACCCCTTCTGTGATTTGTTTTCATTTTATTTTTCTGCCCCCAAACAGTCTATATACTATTTCTACTTTTTCACCAAACAAGGTGATGCTATCTTTGTTCAAACCGAAATACAAACGAATAGATACTGTAGCATGTACCCATGTTGGGAGGTTGTCTTTTTAATCTTAGTATATATGCTTCCCTGGTAGCTTAGACAATAAAGAATCCACCTGCAATGCAGGAGACCCAGGTTCAATCCCTGGGTTGGGAAGATCCCCTGGAGAAGGGCATAGCAACCCACTCCAGAATTTTTGCCTGGAGAATTTCATGGACAGAGGAGCCTGGTGGGCTACAATCCATGGGGTTGCAATAAATCAGACATGACTGAGCAACTAACACTTTCACTTTCAATGCCCAATTTGATTTTTTTTTTTTTTTCAGAGAACCCTCAGAACAGGAGGTTTGCCTGTAATCATGCAATAATCTGTTTTATATTCTACTGTTATTCTGAATACATAGATTCTGGCTTGAGAATCTCAAGGGGAAAAGGTATGAGTTATAGGATTCAAGCACCAAAAACCTGTCCAAACTCAACAACAGAGAGTTCAAGGGTCACAGCAGGGTTAGATAGTGTGCTGTGGGAAAATACCTTTCCTAACAGCAGGAAATGGGAGAAGAAAATCAGGGAAGACTCCCTGAAAGAGGTGGCATTTGAGCTGGGACTGTAAAGGAAGAGTAGTATAGGCTTAGACAGTGGGAGCCCCCAAGATTTCTGAAAACTAGCATCATTAAATCAAAACGTAACTAAAGTTTAAAAAACAAACATTTTAGGAGGTTATTAGAAACATCAAATTGGCCAGTGTTCACTCTCTGGCCTGGGGGTCTTGCACAATCTGGACACTGGAGAAATGGTCTCTGAACAAGGTAGGTAATGGTCACTGGGTTGTCCTATAGTTTCAGGAAATTCTCCATCCCATTATTCTAATTCCCCTTTTTTGATTTCACACTACCAGGCTGCTTTTTTTTTTTAATTTTTAAAAATTCAGTCTGTTGGCAATTTTGAAACTGAGAAGGGGGTACCCTGCATAGAGAAAAACAAATAGCTCAATCACTAGAAAAAATAACCCCACTTGCACTGACAAAAGGAAAGAATAGTTTAAAGGTACTATTTCCACCCTTCACTTGCCACTTCCTTCAGCATCGGCTAGGCTCCCTCCTTCCTCCTCCACTGAATTCATCCCAGGAGAACTTGCCCATTGCCTCTCATTTTCTGAATCTGTCAACTACTTTAAGTCTTCCCTGGGCCTCCCCATGGCATAGGACACTTCATGATACCCTCTTTTCTTTCGCCTTCTGGACGGGACACCCTTCTGGGACATCCCCTGGTTCTGCTTCTCCCTCTCTGGCAGCACCCTTTCAAAGCAGTGTCACTGATGATTTCTAAGGATCTTGGGAAAGTCTCTACTCAGGACCCACAAGGCTAAAGCCTAGGTCCAGGGTAATCTGGAAGAGATGCTAACCCCTGAGAGGCTTACCTCACAAACATCCCCACAAGCACCCACCAGATGGTTGTAGGATCAGCCTTTGAAGATAAGCAAAATGGTCAGAGAAAGGAGCAGAATGGACAATGAAGGCTCAGTGCAAGGGAGAAAGGGAGTGAGAGACGGTTGTAAAAGAAAGTTGAGTCAGAGAGAAAACTCCAGGTATAGGAGATGAAGCTTCATCCAGGGAGGAGGTTGGAACTATCACAGATTTTTGAGGGTTAGAGCCAGGCTTCAGGCAGCATGTGCAGAATGGTCAAGGGTGGCAAGCAGACAAACTAGGAATCTGTACACCGATCCCAGGCCTTTTACCCCTGCAGGGTCACCTCACCCAAGTGCCTCCCCCTTCCGTCTCACCAAAGTCTCTTAGACTTCCTGGTTCAACTCTATAAAGCCTTTCTCAGGGCTGCAGCCCACCTGATGTCCAGTTTATAAAACTGCCTGGACTACACAACTAGTTCCATTCTCTGCGTATACAAACTGACATAGAATCTGACCTTGTCCTCCAGCAGAGAACATGTGCCCAGCAAGAATATAAATTCTCACATGCCACCTCTGAGTCACCTAGCCGTGTGCTAAGCAGACTATGAACAGCATCACTGTGTATTAAATGCTTTCAGAAAGAGATGGCTTTTGTATTAGTACTATGTATTCTTTATTTCGGGGTTTCTTTGGGGTTTTGTGGCTGTGCACAGGCTTTCTCCAGTTGAAGAAAGCAGGGCTTCTCTCTAGTTGCGGTGCGCGGGCTTCTTATTGCAGAGGCTTCTCTTGTCGAGCATGGGCTCGAGGGCATGTGGGCTCAGTAATTGCAGCTCACGGGTTCCAGAGTACAGGCTCAGCAGTTGGGGCGCATGGGCTTGGCTGCCCTGCCACGTATGGGACCAGGGATCACACCCCTGTCCTCTGCACTGGCAGGTGGATTCTTATCCACTGAAGCACCAGGGAAGTCCTATACTGTGTATTCTTTCTCAGAGCAATAGATTCTACTTCTGCTTGCTGTCCTTCTACCCTGCCCCTGCATCCTCTCCTTCTCCCAGGCCACATGGCTGCCCAGCTAGAAGACTCCACTTTCAAGCCTCCCATGCAGCTAAGTCAAAAGACTAGGTTCTTGCCAAAGGAATGTGAATGACAGGGATTTGTGCAACCAGCCTAAAAGGTAACTGCTTATCCTGAACTTCCTCTCTTCTTCTTTTCCTCCAGCTTGAAAGAAGACATGCAAGCAACATGACCTCCACATTGAGGAGGACAAAGCCTTAGGGCATGCAGGAACAACAAGGAAGGAACCAAGGTCTTTGAATGACACTGTGGAACAGAGCTGGCCTACCAGTCTAGAACAGTCAAACTCATGTGAGAGAAAAATAAACTATCTTATTTAAGCCACTATACGTTGGGGTCCCTGTTTCAACAGGTTAAGCATCTACCCAACTAATCTATTTCCCCAAATCCATTTCTCCATAGAATACAGTAAGTCCAATTTTTGAACTAGTTCATATTCCTTTCCAGCTAAAAGGCTACATTTCCTAGTCCCCTTTGCACCTATGTGTGAGCACATGACTAGGTTGTGGCTAATGAAGTGCAAGTGGAATTGTTTCATGGGATTTCTGAGTAATCTCTTTATAATCAGTCACCTTCTTCTTCCCACTTCTTCTTTGCCACTGTCTGGAAAGTGAATGCAATGGCTGGTGATCAAGCAGCCATTTTGGGCCATGAAGTTACACACTAAGAGTTGTGAAGAAGCAGAAGACCAGGATTAGTGTCTCAGATGACCAGTTCTAGACTTCGTACTTCTGGCTTTCTTTACCTAACAGAGGAACTTCTCTTATTTGTGTTGTTAATGTGTGTTTGTTGTAGGTAGCTAAACTTAATCCTAAATAACAGGTACACCCAGCATCCTATCAGCTGCTGGGACACACAACATTTCAAACCCCAACTTCATTCTTAGATATTCCTCTTAGCAGAGAAAAGGAAAATCACTTTCCAAATAGCAGAAATAAGAAGCCAGTTTCCATTCCTTCTGAAGAGAATCAGCTTGGCTTTTGTGCTCATTGAAATATTGCCTGTGCAGGGAGGTCTGCGTGACAAACCCCCAATCGCTGGACCCAGGAGACACCAACAATGATGGCTCACACTAGGGGTCCATGACATATGGGAAAACAGTACAGAAGGGGGATGGAAGTGGGGAAGGAGGTGTGACCCAGCTCTCCGGGGGAGGGGGGGGGGCTGGGCAGCGAGCAGGAACAGAACGCCGAAGTTGGAACACTAGCCACGGCAAATTTAGGTCAATACAGACATGGAGGAAACAAGGCAATCTCTCTTTAAGAGGGGACTTGGGCTTCCCACCAGCTACTCTGATTTCACACACTCTAGGCCAGATGGCAGTCTCCTCCCTTACCATCCGCTACCCCGTCCCTGTCACAGATAGACGCTGAAAACTCAGGGAATGGGGGGGGAGGGGCGGAAGCGGGAGAGAGCGCGAGGCGGGCGGCGGGGGTTGACTCAGCCCCACCTGTCCGCAGGTTCGCAGGACTTGGCTGACCACCTCCCTCCCGGCCTCAGTCTCCCCACCTGTAAAGCCAGCAGCGGGGGGAAGGCGCTGACAGCTCTCCGGGTCTCTTCTCCAGGCCGATGGGCAGGGTGAGCCTTGCGCTGCGCGGTCGGGCCTCGGCTGAGCCAGAGGAGCCTCCATTCGCCTCCTAACCGAGTCCCCGCCCCCGCCCCCGANGCCCTGCAGCGTCAACATCCCGAGGTGCCAGGAACGGTAGCATGACTAATCTCTGGCCCCACGGCAGACATCTATCTGAATCAGGATGCATTTTTCCAAGATCCCCTGGAGGCCCCCATATAAGTTCCCATTTAAGAAGTGCTCCCCGCGGGGTTCACCTTGGAGCACACCTTGTCAGAGTCACTGCCTCCCCGACTTTGTTTCAGCACTTTTTGGTTTATATACAGCACTCGCTATATCCATTATTTCTTGGGATCGAGATTGGAAAAGTTGAAATAGCAAGACCCCCACTTTATAGATAGGTAAACCGAGGTCTTTAGAGCCAGAGGGGAACAAGAACCCAGATCTTTGGGCTGGATTCACGGAGACTTTTGGAGTGTGTAGTCAGAGGCTGCCCTTGCCCTTGAATAACATGCCCCCTTCAAAATCAGGCAAGCGGTTTGCTGTTTCCCCGCAGCAAACACACTCAGGCCTTGGCAGGCCCAGGCTGTGGGATTCCGGACTTTTCCAAAATCATTCCTGCTGCGTGAATTCTCTTCTGGTTGTTTACTTTGCCATTCATTCATTCATTCACACCAAGCACTTACTACGTGCCAGGTCCCTAATTCTTTCCTAATGATGGTTTTGGAATGATAACACATTCAAACTGCTGTTTTCTGCTAGAAAACGTGGACACAATTCTTTTTATGCTGGTATTGCAGAGCCAGCATTCTAGCTTGCTTTTAAATTTTATTTTATTGCATAAACAAAGAAAATAATTATGGTAGCAGAAAAGTGTAGAGGTTTCTAATTTAGAACCAGAAATCAGGCTGTTTGTGGTGATGATTAGCAACCTCCAGGATTCAGTGGAATTTAGGTAAGATGGTGAAGGTGAGGATGAATAAGGTTCAATACTATAAATGGCATGAATGAATATGCTGATGGTTATGCTATACAAATATTCAAAAGAAACTGGTGATTGCAAAGTTTTTTTGGCCCAGGGTAGATGGGAGACAGAATTCTGCTGTGGAAACTGAGAAGTTTTTTATGTCCCAGAGGTCAAATGTTTGCTTTTACATATCACTTAACACTGATGGTGGGTTGTCCAGTTGGTGTTTAAATCACCTGACAGGTGATTTGGGTATAATTCATGGAAACCCTGGGCTTCACTAGGTCTCCCAATATTCTAGTTGTTGCAAGAAATAGATCATATTTATTGCTTGAAAAAGGTAAGATGAACTATAGTGACTTTAGAAATCAAAACAAAGAGATTTGTTTTGTGCAAAGCTAGGCAAGACGTAGCTTTGCAGAAGATAAAATTCAAAAATACAAAAAATTCAATGAATTGAAAATCTATTAACGAGTTGTCCTTAAAAAAAATTTAATAAAACACCTTGTTCTTTAAAAAGTGAAATGTTTTTCTTTTCTCATCTTCCTGTTTACCAGGAAAGATAAGGCCAGATTTAAATGGCAAGTACTGGACTTCTGATTTTCATGTTAATTCACTGGTTTGGGAATCCAAGTTGTTACCTGTTACTTTATTTTTACTGCCTTCATTTTAACTAATAAAATTAACAATGCTGATGCTAGAAAGAAAGTATATTAAAACCAAGCCATTCTCTGGTAAACTGGCCTGATAAAATCATGTGGGCTTTTTTTTTCTCTTTATAGAGAATGTTGGGCGGTAGTATGGGAGAAAGGTGTGCACCCACAGTCTAAAATGAGGCCTGGAGGTAAACTGATTTCAATGACCTAAAACCATGATCAAGGACCTGGGGTCCATGGACTCAAAGGAGACCTTAGATGGGCTTCAGGAATGGTGTGAAGATCCAATGAAAGTACTGGAATAACATTTGACATGTGGATTTTTCTAGGGAGAACACCCACAATTTTCATGGGTTCCTTCAAGTCTGCATGCCACTCCAGAGCCTTAGAACCTACTCTGGTTTCCCTATGGACTTGGCTTCTTTCTTTCATGAGGATATCTCCCATCCAGATAAACTGTCTTTTGGGATCTTCTTTCTTTTAAGATTTTTTTAATTTTATGTGGACCATTAAAGAAAAAACCAAAACACCTTACCCCATTTTTCCTTCCTGCCTCCATGAGTCTCTCTCCGAACAGATTTGACCCTACTTCACTCTTACTACTACTCAAAAAGTGGTCCACGGCCCTGCAGCGTCAACATCCCGAGGTGCCAGGAACGGTAGCATGACTAATCTCTGGCCCCGCGGCAGACATCTATCTGAATCAGGATGCATTTTTCCAAGATCCCCTGGAGGCCCCAATATAAGTTCCCATTTAAGAAGTGCTCCCCGCGGGGTTCACCTTGGAGCACACCTTGTCAGAGTCACTGCCTCCCCGACTTTGTTTCAGCACTTTTTGGTTTATATACAGCACTCGCTATATCCATTATTTCTTGGGATCGAGATTGGAAAAGTTGAAATAGCAAGACCCCCACTTTATAGATAGGTAAACCGAGGTCTTTAGAGCCAGAGGGGAACAAGAACCCAGATCTTTGGGCTGGATTCACGGAGACTTTTGGAGTGTGTAGTCAGAGGCTGCCCTTGCCCTTGAATAACATGCCCCCTTCAAAATCAGGCAAGCGGTTTGCTGTTTCCCCGCAGCAAACACACACAGGCCTTGACAGGCCCAGGCTGTGGGATTCCGGACTTTCCCAAAATCATTCCTGCTGCGTGTAATTCTCTTCTGGTTGTTTACTTTGCCATTCATTCATTCATTCACACCAAGCACTTACTACGTGCCAGGTCCCTAATTCTTTCCTAATGATGGTTTTGGAATGATAACACATTCAAACTGCTGTTTTCTGCTAGAAAACGTGGACACAATTCTTTTTACGCTGGTATTGCAGAGCCAGCATTCTAGCTTGCTTTTAAATTTTATTTTATTGCATAAACAAAGAAAATAATTATGGTAGCAGAAAAGTGTAGAGGTTTCTAATTTAGAACCAGAAATCAGGCTGTTTGTGGTGATGATTAGCAACCTCCAGGATTCAATGGAATTTAGGTAAGATGGTGAAGGTGAGGATGAATAGGGTTCAATACTATAAATGGCATGAATGAATGTGCTGATGGTTATGCTATACAAATATTCAAAAGAAACTGGTGATTGCAAAGTTTTTTTGGCCCAGGGTAGATGGGAGACACAATTCTGCTGTGGAAACTGAGAAGTTTTTTATGTCCCAGAGGTCAAATGTTTGCTTTTACATATCACTTAACACTGATGGTGGGTTGTCCAGTTGG